ACCCCACCATATACACACACCACAGTCTCTTCATCCATCCATCCACTGACGGGCGTCTGGGTTGATGCCGTAGTTTAGCTATTGTGAGTTGTGCTGCTGTGAACATCAGGGTGGCCGTGTCACTGCAGTGTGCTGAGTTCAGATCTTTTGGAAAAATGCCAAGGAGTGGGGTAACTGGGTCCTGTGGTGACTCCATCCCTAGTTTTTTCAGGAATCCCATACTGCTTTCCAGAATCCTGTAGAGCCTACAGTCCCACCAACAGTGTGCGAGAGGACTTGCCCTGACCTCCCAGGCATGCATCATCATTAGTATTCTTGATCCTTGCCATTTGGAGGGAGGTGGAATCTTGGTCTAGTTTTGCTCTGCACTCCCCTGGTTGCTAGAGATGTTGAACACTTTTTCACGTGTTTGTTGGCCATTTGTGTTTCCTCTTTTGAGAAGTTTCTGTTTAGTTGGGTTTTTTTTCAATTTATTGATTGGGTTATTATTATGTCTTTGGTGTTGAGTTTTTTGAGTCCTCCATAGATTCTGGATATTAATCCCCTATTGGAGGAGCAGGTGGCCAAGATTTTCTCCCATTCTGCAGACTTTCTCTTCACGCTCTTGTTTCTTAGCTCTGAAGAAAAATTTTAGTTTAATGGCACTCTCAGCTATTATTATTATTCTTTCTTTCTTTTTTTGGTACTGGAGATTGAACACAGGGGCACTCGACCACTGAGCCTCGTCCCCAGCCCTATTTTGTATTTTATTTAGGGACAGGGTCTCACTGAGTTGCTTAGTGCCTCACCTTTGCTGAGACTGCTTTGAAGTCAGGATCCTCCTGCTGCAGCCTCCTGAGTTGCTGGGATTACATTATTAAGGGGATTTTTTTTTTTTACATGTGTTTCTTGTGCTAAATATTTAAAATCCAATGTGGATCTAAACTCTCAGTGTCTCTCATTTTGAACCAGTCACATTTCAAGGTCTCAAGAACCACATGTGAGCCGGGTGTGGCGACACACACCTGTAATCCCAGTGACTCAGGAGGCTGAGGCAGGAGGATGGAAAGTTCAAAGCCAGCCTCAGCAACTTAGGCCCTAAGGAATTCAGTGAGACCCTGTCTCAAAATAAAATATAAAAAAAGGCTGGGGATGTGGCTCAGTGGTTAAGTGCCCCTGGGTTCAATCCCTGGTACCAAAAAAAAAAGAAAGAAAGAAAAAAAAAAAAAAAAAAGCTTTGAGTGGAGTCCTGATTTGGTTGCTTACATTGTATATCCTTGAACAAAAACCTAACCTCTCTGTTCCTTGGTTTCCTCTCTATAAAATGTATATAACCAGATAACTCATCCCAGAAAGTTGTGTTGTAGACTAATTGAGGCTCAATTAACTTTTTTTTAAATATTTTTTTTAAATAATATTTATTTATTTATTTTAGTTTTCGGCGGACACAACATCCTTGTTTGTATGTGGTGCTGAGGATCGAACCCAGGCCGCACGCATGCCAGGCGAGCGCGCTACCGCTTGAGCCACATCCCCAGCCCCTCAATTAACATTTTAACATAAGACTGGAAGTCTTTGCAAATTCTCTAAGACAAGAAAAATAAACGGATGTGAAGATTGGAAGGTGGGTGGTAAAACTGCCTTTTAGACCATTTTTAAGAAAAACCTGAGAATCTACAAAGTATCTTAGGATAAGAATTTGCCCAGGCTGCCTGTTAGAGGATTAGTCGACATTATTCAATATCATGAATCAGCTAAAAAGTATAAGGAGTCAGGAAATGAGAAAAGTGCCGCTTGCTAGTACAATGGTGACTCTGATTTTGATCTTGAGCCCTGAGCCTGCTCCTGCGTACTTGACGTTACCCCTGGGTTGCCTCCAAGATTCCTCCAACCCTATGGTGCTCAGCGGAAATTCGCAAGCTTCTTCCCAAGACTGCTGTGCTGGCTCAAGAGGCTGCTAGTCCACCAGGACCCCCAAGCCCAAGCCCCTTCCTGACGCCTGTCACCTTGTCCTTTCCTTGGGCTTTCTGCTCCATCCTTGCTCTCTCTACAGTCCACTCTGCCACAACCTCAAGGCCCTGCATGGTCTGTCTGTCCCTGAATTGTGAAGCCTCATTTGTCACTACTGTCACCCTTGCTTCCTCTGCTCCTGCCACAGAGACCTTCTTCAAACTCACTGAAGGATTTCCTACCCCAGGGCTTTTGCACACGTGGCTTCTCCTGCCTTGGAAGTGCTCCAGCAGATTTCCAGTTACCTGTTGAGTCTCTTCCTAACTCCTCCTTACACAAAGGAGCCCCCTCTGGCCCCCCACCCCTGTTCAAACAGCACCCCCACGCTCTTGTCCTTGTGATACCAGGTTCGTGTGATGATTTTTTTTAGAGATTCCTAAACTTTTTGATCACAGCTGCCTTATGTTCTTTTTCTCTTTTTGGTGTGTGTGTGTGGGTAAACCCGGGGTGCTCAACCCCTGAGCCACATCCCCGCCCTATTATGTTTTTGAGACAGAGTCTCCCTAAGTTGCTGAGGCTGGCTTTGAACTTTCCATCCTCCTGCCTCAGCCTCCTGAGCTGCTGGGATTACAGGTGTGGGCCACTGTGCCTGGCCTCCCTATGGTCTTACCAAAGGACCCTGAAGAGTTTTTGTTGATGTAGGTGATAGCTATCAGTATTTATTGCATTTAGAAAATAAAACTAGGGCTGGGGATGTGGCTCAAGCGGTAGCGCGCTCGCCTGGCATGCGTGTGACCTGGGTTCGATCCTCAGCACCACATACAAACAAGGATGTTGTGTCTGCCGAAAACTAAAAAATAAATATTAAAAAACTTCTCTCTTTAAAGAAAAAAAAAAGAAAATAAAACTAAGCAATTTAAGGAATATGTATTGATTTGTTTAAAAATAAACTCTCCTGTAATGTAACATATTTTAATGAAAAAATTACCATCTTTTCAAAAATTAGTGAGAAAGTTGTTGTCTGCATACATACGCATATGTATTATATATGCAAATATGTGTTTATATCTATATGTTTACATGCTTTTATTTTTCATACTGGGGATTGAATCCAGGGTGCTCTACCACTGCGCTGCATTCCTGGCCCTTTTTAATTTGTTTTTCTTTTCTTTCTTTCTTTTTCTTTTTTTTTTTTTTAGTACTGGGGATTGGACCCAGGGAGTCTTAACCACTGAGCCACATCCCCAGCCCTTTTTTGTATTTTATTTAGAGACAGGGTCTCATTGAGTTGCTTAGCGCCTGGCGGTTGCTGAGGCTGGCTTTGAACTTTCCATCCTCCTGCCTCAGCCTTCTAAGCCACTGGGATTACAGGCCTGCGCCACCACACTGGGCTCTTTTTAAATTTTTTTTTTTTTTTTTGAGACAGGATCCTGTTAAGTTGCCCAAGCTGACCTTCAACTTGTGATCCTCCTGCCTCGGCCTCCAGAGTCAATGGGATTACAGGTGTGCACACTGCACCTGGCTTATGATAATAACGGTGACCTCACAGGGGAAGGGTTCTTGTGCTGCACTTTGAGAATCACCCCACCCCACCAACTGAATGCCTCTGGGGCTGGGTGACCTCAGCATAAGAGTCAGTCCTGACTGCGGGCAGGTAGCTGGGACCCTCACTCAGTTTCTGAATCTTGGCTTCTTCTAACACTGGGAGGATTCGGAATCGTGGGGCACTCTAGTGCACAATACACACCTGCTGTTTGACCTTCTGGAGAGACCACCTTCTTCTTCCTTTTTTTTTTGTACTGGGGCTTGAACTCAGGGGCACCCAACCAATGGGCATGTTTTGTATTTGTATTTTATTTAGAGGCAGGGTCTCACTGAGTTGCTAAGCTCCCCAAGTTGCTAAGGCTGGCTTTGAACTCCGGATCCTCCTGTCTCGGCCTCTTAAATGGCTGGGATGACAGGCGTGCACTCTTACTAACACTTTTTATGCATGTAGTTAATTAATTCCTCCTGAGGCCTGTCCTGTGCTGTGCTAGGGACATGGTGATGACATGGTGATCCTGGCTCAGCCCTCCTGGGGCTCCCAGGTGGATTTTTTATTTGTGAGGGACTGCCTTCAGCTCCTGGTCCTCAAGGGTGTATGAGTTCTCAAAGGCTGAGAAGGTAGGGAAAGGCAGTTTAGAGTGGGAACAGCATGCAGAGTCATGAGGAATAGAGGAGACATGCTCTGGAATGCCCAGGGTCCTCTCCCTCCAAAGCGCCTCAAGTCAGTTAGTGAGAAACAGGGGTGCATCTCTGGTTTAACTTCTTTCTTTCCCAACCACTCTTTTTTGTTGTTGTTGTTTAAAGACTTCCTCAACTCTGGGCTCTTTGGTGAAAGTCCCACCTCTGAGCCAACCTCACTGTCTCATGCTGCAGTCCTTCGGTTTCACAGCATATCCACCCGCGTCCTATTCACTTAGGATGTCCCAGCAAAAAAAAAAAAAAAAAAAAAGGCGTCCAGGAGGGCGCAGGGTCGGGTCCAGTCGCCTCCACTGTCCCCATCCGGGGGCCTCCGCTTGGGCCCGGGTGAGTCAGCCCCTGGCGGCTCCCGCGTCATACCGGCCGCTCGGCTCCGCGCTATTTCGGGCGCGGGGCGCTATAAATAGAGGCTCGCGGAGCCGCGCCGCCCCCCTCCGCTCGGGCCCCCTGCGTCCCCGGCCCCGCCGCGATGGCCGGGCCGCGCGTCACCGCGGCTAAGTTTAGAGGCGGCGGGGACACCGGCCTGGTCACCGTGCCCCGGCCGCGCCTCCGCCCCCAGGGCCGCGGGCTCCCCAGCCCTTCCGGGGCGCAGAGGGGACCCGGGCTGGGACCTGGCGGCCCGCGCGGCCCGGGGCGGCTGGACCTCGGACTTGGGGCGACTGGAGCGAGGACGCGGCTCCGCGCTGGGGGCGCGGGAATCGGAGCTCGTCCCGCCGGGACCCGGCGACGCACCCGGCTTCCCGGGCCGGAGTCCCGCGTCGAGCGCCAGGTGGCACCGCCAGAGCCTCCCGCCCGCCCCTAGCCCGCCGCTGACAGTGACGCGGCGGGCTTTGCAGCTCCCGAGTGGCGGGGAACGTCAGGGCGGGACAGGGCGGGACCAGGCGGGGACCGCCGCCCTCACCGTGTCGTCCCGGCGCTTCTGCCCGCTCCCGGGAGCCCCGCAGGCAAAGCCTCTCGTGGGGCGCCGGCGCCCCCTGGCGCCAGCGGCAGGAGTTGCGCTGCAGGGTTGGCAATGCCAGTCCCAGCCCCCGGGGACCGAGTCCTGCTCGCTTACCCGGGGGCCCCAGGACACTGATTCGTAGTACTTCTTTAGACCACTCTTGGTTCTCTAGTCTCTCCAATGAACTAATGATGCCGGGTGAGCGCCGGGCCCAAGACCACAGGAAGTGGGCCGCACAGCTGTCCCAGTGCCTGTCGCAGCGCAGGGCACACACTCGGTGCTCAGTACTTAGAATCAAGAGGTGAGCAAACCGGGCCATCTCAAGACCGGACTCTGGTCTTACTGAATCCTCAGTAACTGCAGATGGCAAGCTGAGGCTGCGGTGGAGAAGTGGCTTTCTGTGGGGCTAGGCCTCTGTGGGGTTCATTCACACAACACTGGGTTCAGAAGCGCCTTGTGAGGGACCTGTGATGCAATGGCAGCTCCAGCTGCCACCTCCCAGGACCAGGTCAAAGGCTACTTATTTATTTGAAAAATCCTAACAATAATCCCTCTACTGCAGATCAAGTCCAGTTCTAAGCACTTCCACGTGTTAATTCTTCACGTGTTAATTCCTCTTAACACTTGTATTGTTGTTACACCCATTTCAGAGATGAACAGACTGACAAAGAAATGAGTTGCTGGCTCAAGGTCATGCTGCTAATTAGTGATCCTGGAGAAAATGACACCTGTGGATGAGACTGTGAAGGAAGGCGAATCAGATGGGTCAAAACTCTTCTCAGAGGCCACCCAGAAGTCAGAGAGAAAGAAGAGCAAGTACTTCTAACTTTGCAAGGAAAAGAACTAAGAACCCAGAATTCCAGATTCCAATCGTGAGAATAAAAGAACAAAAGAGATTTTCAAATGAGCACAACTCAGAAAATTGCTATTTACAGATACACTCTCCAAGAATTAGTAGGGAGTAGGTCGTGGGGGGGTGTGGCTCAGTGGTAGAACATTTACCTAGCATGTGTGAAGCCCTGAATTTGATTTCCAGCACTGCAAACACACACACACACACACGAATTAGTAATAAAAATACTCTAACAAGAAATAAAATGAGCTGGGGAAGAAGAGCACACCTGTGATCCTACTTATTGAGGAAGCTGAGGCAGGACGAACCCAAGTGTGAGGCCTGCCTCAGTAACTTAGTGAGACCCTGTCTCAAAAGGTAAAAACGAGGGCTGGGGCTGTGCCTCAGTGGTAGTGCACTCGCCTAGCACATGTGAGGCACTGGGGTCAATCCTCAGAACCACATAAAAATAAACTAAACATATGGTGTCCATCTACAACTAAATATATATATATATATATATATATATATATTTACATATATATGTATATGTTTACATATATATATATATATATATATATATTTTTTTTTTTTTTAAATTTTTTTAAGTGCTTCTGGGTTCAATCCTCAATACCAAGGAGGGAAGGATTGTCATGTCCCCAAAAGAAATGCTTCAGTCTTAATCCTGGTATCTTGGGAAGCAACCTTATTCAGAAACAGGGTCTTTCCAGAGGTGATATTGGGGTGGGAGGATGGGCCCTAATTCAATATAAATGATGTCCTTATATTAATGGGAAAATTTGGACATAGGGCCGGACCCACAGTTGAAAGGCTGACCTGGGGGTGGGGTGGGGTGGTCATCTGCCAGGAGGCATGGAGCCGAGAGAGACCAATGAGCTCAACAGAAATGTCCAAATGTACATGTTGGAAATTTGATAGGTGACAGAGGCATCATGTCAGAGTAGTGGGGAAAGGGCTGGCCTTTGGTACAATTGGCTACATCTACCTAAATCCTTACCTCAGTGCATTTTCCAAAATAAATCTGCTATGGAATAACGATGGAAACATAAAATGAAAACTGGGGAATGTTTAGAAGAAATGACAGAATATACACAGATGACCTTGGGGTATGACAGGTCTCTAAAACCAGGAAGAGCAAAAGCCAGGATGGAACAGATAGACAAATAGGCGTGAATAAGCCCTAAGAACTTCTAAATAAATAAAGCTAAAATACAGAGTACAAACGAGGAGGAAATACATGGAACTGACTAAGAATTAGAATCAGAATCCAGAACGTACTCCTATAAATTAATAGTAATAAAAAAGGCACACAAGCCATTTAAAAAATGGGCAAAGGATATGAGCAAGCAACTCACAGAACACAAAATACCTAAGACCAATAAACTCACAAAAATATGTTCTATTTCCTTAGCAATCACAGAGTTACAAGTTAGAACAGTGTGATACTATCCTTTCAGGAAATGACTAATACTAACTCATCCACCAAGTCTCCGCCTAGATGTCCCCTCCTCCAGGAAGCCCTTCCTGACTCCTGGGCTGGGTTAGGCGCTGCTCCTAGCCCCATCCCATGGCCCTGTGGGGTCGCCCGTCCCTCCCACTCTGGTGGTCACTGTTTGGGACTCTCACTGGATGTAAGGCTCTCGGGAGGGGCAGCCCAGGGCCCTCCCTGGTCACCGCTGTCACTGGCACCGCCCCGCACAGAGCCGGGAACAGAGCAGGCGTTTGGGGAACGGTGGAATAAATGAATGATGGGGAAACCGAGGGCAAGTCAATGGCCGATTTGGGATTCAACTCCAAGTTTCTCTGTACCGAGAGGGGGCACCTAGTTTGATTTCCCGACATCCTTCTCCACTGAGCCCTGCCCGGAGCCCGGGAATACAATAGGCGATCAACAGGGCACCCCAGGCCCTGGAACCCGCAGACCCACGCCACTTTCCTGGCCAATCCTCCAAGGTCCTCCAGGACCATAGAGAGCTGCGCAGGGCTGCCCCTCTCTATGCTCTCCCGTGGGGAGCAGTGAGACGGACCGAGGGCCAGAGAGGCCGGAAGTGCGGCAAACTGGGGCCGCGCTGGTCGCATTGGCGGTGGGTCGCCTCGTTCCCCCGCCGTCTTTCCCTTTGGGCTCTGGGGCGAGCAGGTGAGTGGGTCCTCGTGGTGCTGAGACCCCAGGTAGGGGCGAGAGGGGCTGGAGGTGGAGGCCGCAGGTGGTGATTGGCAGCCGCAGAGGCCAACCTTTGCAATGTCTGCGACCCACCTAAAGGCGGCGTAGAGCGTCCAGGTGCGAGCCTTGGGTGCCGGCCCAACGGCCCGCGGAGACAGCGGGGCGGGGCGCAAGGGGCCCGGGTGGCGAGGGGCGGGGCGAAGGAGTCCGGGGACCGAAGGGGGCGGGGCGAGCAGAAGGCGGGTGGGCGGCGGCGCCCTTGGGGCGGGGCATTCTGCAACCTAGGGCTGTGGATATTTGGTACTTGACGTTTTGGGACACTGGAATTTTAGGGGGTGAGGGTGGGCGGCTGTGAATGGGGGTCCCTGCTGGGAAGGTGCTAATACAGATGCCAATGTCTCAGTTGCTCCTGCTGCCACATCTTCCCTTTCAGGCTCCTGATGGAACCAGGGAAGGACGAGCAGGGGGTGCCGCAGCCTGCAGGGCCACCCACAAGGAAAAAATTTGTAATCCCGCTGGACGAAGATGAGGTCCCTCCTGCAGGGGTAGGACGAGGAGATGGGGGACGCCTGGGAATGGGAGTGGTGCTGGAAGGGATCTGTGGGGCCACACTGTGGATTAGGTGTGGGGGTCTAGATGGCCTTGGGGAAACAGCCCTTTGTCCTGGGCAAGTCTCAGTTTCCCCGATCTGTAAGATGACAGAGCAGTTCTAAGAGGGAGCCAAGGCAGAGGCCAATAACTGGCAGCTAGCAGGTGGCCCCTTCATGTTTTATGTGGTCCAAACCCTATTTTTGCAAGAAGGAATTTGTGGCTGATAGGCCAACCCGTAGGACAGGGAGGGACCCACAGGGGTTCAGTGTTCCCTCCCTGGCCCCTGGTGACCCCCTTTCCTCCCCACAGGCCAAACCCTTGTTCAGATCCACACGGAACCTTCCTGCTGTGGAGACCTCTGCCCAGGAAGCCCCTCAGACCTATGCTGAGTATGCCATCTCACGGCCCCCAGGAGGGGCTGGAGCCCCGGGCCCCACCGGGTCAGAACCCCTGGCTGGAGAGACCCCCAACCAGGCCCTGAAACCAGGAACAAAGTCCAACAGCATCATTGTGAGCCCCCGGCAGGTGAGGAGGGAGACGGAGATTTCTGGGGGGAAAGCCGGTGATAGGATGGCCCCGGTGGTGGCAGAGTTCTAGCTACTTTGTTTCAGCAGCCTGTTCATTCATTCATTCACCAGCTCTGTGTGTTGAGGGTGGCCAACTCTGCTTGCTGGGGTTGTGACTGTGTATGTGCAGCTCTGTTTCTGTCCCCAGGTTTGCTCATTGAGCCAGGCATGGTGGTGCACAGCCTGTAATCCCAGCAGTTTGGGAGGCTGAGGCAGGAGGATCAGGAGTTCAAAGCCAGCCTCAGCAACAGTGAGGCGCTAAGCAACTCAATGAGACCCTGCTTTTAAATAAAATATAAAAAAGGGCTGGGGATGTGGCTCAGTGGTTGAGTGCCCCTGGGTTCAATCCCTGGTACCCCCCCCCAAAAAAAAAAAAAGTATTAAAGGAGCACAGGCCTGAATTTGAATCCCTTTTCTGCCATGCAATAGCTGTGTGACCCTGGGCGAGTAACTCCACCCATCTGGTGCCTTTAAATGGGAATAGGGCACAGAGATGGAATCCATGCACAGAGATGCACAGAAAGTTAGGAATGCTACTTTCTGCTCTGGGGATGGAGTGGTGGGAACGGAATAGGGAAAGTCTTTGCCACTGTTAGAGCCAGTGTACTTGGCAGGGAGAGTGGCTTGGGTACAGGTGATAACAGGACCCAAGCACTCACCACTTTTGTCACCAGAAAAATGACATCTGACTCACAATGAGATACTACTCTCCACCTACCAAGAAGGCTGTCACCGAAATGATGGACAAGCTGGGTGCCATGGTGCAGGCCTGTGGATCCCAGAAACTCAGGAGGTTATGGCAGGAGGATTGCAAGTTGGAGGCCAGCCTGGGCACCCTAGGGAGACCCTGTCTCAAAAAAAAAAGCTACGGATGTGGCACAGGAGTTATTGCTCTGGGGTTCAATCACCAATAACAAATGTAAATAAATAAGTAAAAAATAAAAAGGGCTGGGATGTAGCTCAGTGGTAAAGCACCTGTGGTCCAATCTCCATACCACACACACAAAAAAGTCAACTGTAGAGCTGTCACATGACCCAGTGATTCTGCTTCTCGGTACGTCCACATAAAAACCCAGACACAAGTATCCATGGTGGTGTCGTTCACAACAGCCAGCAAGGGAAGCCATCCAGATACCCTCCACTTGGTTCTTTTCTTTTTTTTTGTTTTTTTGTCCTGGGGTTTGAACTCAGGGGCACTACACCACTGAGCCACATCCCCAGCCCTATTTTGTATTTTATTTAGAGACAGGGTCTCGCTGAGTTGCTTTGAACTCGAGATCCTCCTGTCTTAGCCTCCCCTGTCACTGGGATTACAGGCATGTGCCACCAAGTCATGTGCAACATGACATTTCTGACACCAGATATCTGGAGGTTTCCCGGACAACAGGCAGTTCTCACGGGGACACCAACTGGGTGTCCTAAGGGTTAACTCAGTTCAGCCACTACCTCCTTGGAGACAGCATCAGATCCCACAGGTGCGGGGCCCAGGCCCAGGCCCCGGCCCCACCCTAACCTGCCTGACAAATAAATCAGAAGTTCCCTCGACCCCCTCCTTAGGTTCAATTAATTTACCCAAGCAGATCACAGATCTCAGAGAAATAATTTTTGTTTACTGGTTTATTTATTTTTTAAACATTTTATTAGTACCATATTCCTTTTTTTTTTTTAATTTTTTTTTGTAATGTTAGATGGACAGAGTGCCTTGATTTTATTTGTTCATTTATATGTGGTGCTAA